TGAAGTCTCTGCTATAGAGAAATATGAACAATTAAGTCACCCTGCCCCCTACAAACAACAACTGGGGAAGGAAAATCAAACCTTCCCTCAACCATACACCCAGGGTGCCTCTTTGAATAGTCCCTGGGTAGTCTGCTTGGTTTAAGGGGTACAAATCATTTGTCTCAGTTAGCACCCATTTTAGGTGGAAAAGTTCAAATATTTCCAGCAGCTAGATAAGAGGGGTCTGCTTGCAGCTCAGATATAAGTTGCTCCAGTGCTCCATGAGGGCAAAGGGACCCACCCAGCAAATGGGTTAGTCTGGGGAGGTTAATACTTCCTTCCCCACCTTGCACCCAGTCATTCATAATCCCCCAGGTCTGTGACCCTATTCACTCCAGTAGGCAACTGCTCCCGGGGTTTACAACTGCCAAAATCACCCGGAAATCTGCATCCGGCAGGGGGGCCTTGTGTGTTTAAATTAGGCTGTGAATGTTCTCTTAATTATAGCCCCTGTCCCAGCTAGATTCTTCTGCCAAGTCAGAGGCTGCTAGAGCTGGTGAAGAACTCAGCTCTGGGCAGCAAGCACATTAGTGTTTACACTCAGGTGTCAATTCCAGCCCCTGCCCGCCCACTGCCTTTGTCTCAGCAATATAATCCTGAGGACTGGTGCTAATGGTCTCTTCACTTACGAAAGTTACCAAGTCCATTTGGCCTGTGGCTGCTGTCCAGAACCTCTGGCTCCCCAGAGAGACAGGGCTTGCCTATCTGGAATGGTGTCAGTTTGTAGCTCAGGATGCCATTGTTGCTGTATGGCTTCCGCCAAGCCAACTTTCTTCTCCTTCCACTCCTGTGCCACAGTCAGCACAGAGCAGCACTAGCCCTTTCTCCCTCTACTTCTCTCAATGAGATGCTCAAGAATCTGCACTCCATAGGTAACAAACCTCCAGACCTCGGGGTGGGGGTGGGGAAATCCTCAGAGTTCAATGTTGCAGGTGGGGAATATATACAGTTTTATGCCTGACAGGAGGGTACCGTGGCATGGCAGCAGGGGTAGGAGGTCCAGTTTTTAGGGAGTCTCTCCCATGGGATAGAGTGGGAGGATGTTTGGACTCTGCTCGCTTGTTTGCATGGAGTAAACTGCGAGCCCTTCTTGTGGGGGAGGGGACTCTCATCCACTTGGTGGTGGATTTTGTACCTTTTGATTGTATTTTTGGGGTCACAGCTTGCCTCAGGAAGGTTGAAGTGCACTCTTCAATCTTCTCTCTTGGCTTTACTCCAAACCATCAGCTCCCTTGCTAAACTTCTGTCCTTTAAGCCTCCTTCTGTGCTTGGCACCTGTGGCTCACGTGGCTAAGGTGCCAGCTACATACACCTAAGGTGACGGGTTCGAATCCAGCCCAGGCCCGCTAAAACAATGATGGCTGCAACCAAAAAAAAAAAAAATAGCCAGGTGCTGTGGTGGGCTCCTGTGGGCCCAGCTACTTGGGAGGCTGAGGCAGGAGACTCACTTTAGCCCAGGCGTTGGAGGTTTCTGTGAGCTGTGATGCCACAGCACTCTACCCAGGGGGATAGCTTGAGGCTCTGTGTCAAAAAAAAAAAAAGAAAGAAAGCCTCCTTCTGGACGGGAGCTTCTGTAAAAAGCTGGCTGCAGTCTGCCACCTTGCCTCCACGCCCCCCCCTTCTTTTGATTTTTGATAAACCAATTAAAAATATAAATTGGGGGAAAGATTCTCTATTCAACAAATGGTGCTGGGTCAATTGGCTCGTGACCTGTACAAAACTGAAACTGGACCCACACCTTTCTCCTCTAATAAAAATTGACTCTCATTGGTCAAATGACTTAAACTTAAGACATGAAACAATAAAAATTCTTAGAGAGAGTGCAGGGGAAATGCTTGAAAAAATTGGCCTGGGAGAATACTTTATGAGGAGGACACCTCGGGGAATTGAAGCAACATCAAAAATACATTACTGGGATCTGATCAAAGTAAAAAGCTTCTGCAGTGCCAAGAACATACTAAATAAAGGAAATAGACAGCCCTCAGAATGGGAGAGGATTTTTGCAAGTTATTATTTCCAACAAAGGTCTAATAACCAGAATCCACAGTAAACTCAAACTTATTACTTAAAAAAACTCAAATGATCCCATTTCATCATGGGGAAGAGACGTGAACAGAAGCTTCTCTGAAGAATATCGGTGCATGGTCTACAGACACTTGAAAAAATGCTCATCATCATTAATCATCAAAGAAATGCAAATCAAAACTACTCTGAGATACCATCTAACTCCAGTAAGAGTAGCCCACATCACAAAATCCCAAAACTACAGATGTTGGTGTGGATGTGGAGAAAAGGTAACACTTCTGCACTGCTGGTGGGAATGCAAGGTAGTACGTTCCTTTTGGAAGGAAGTTTGGAGAACACTCAGGGATCTGCATGTAGATCTGCCATTTGATCCTGCAATTCCTCTTGTAGGTGTATATCCAAAGGACCAAAAATCATTTGGCAATAAAGATATTTGTGCCAGATTGTTCATTGCAGCTCAGTTCATAATTGCCATGTCATGGAAGAAGCCCAAGTGCCCACCGACCCATGACTGGATAAATAAATTGTGGTATATGTATACCATGGAATACTATGCAGCATTAAAAAATGAAGACTTTACCTCTTTTATGTTTACATGGATGGAGCTGGAAAATATTCTTCTTAGTAAAGTATCTCAAGAATGGAAAAAAAAATCCAATGTACTCAGTACTACTGTGAAACCAATTTATAGTTACTCACACTTGTATATGAAAAATGAAACTCAACTATAGCTTAGGATGAAGAAGAGGAGGGGAAGGAGAGGGGAAGGGAGGGCTTGATAGATGAAGGGTTAGCAGGGGGACCAAACCTATGGAGCATATTGCAAGTACAAGTTGGATCTATCAGGTGTAGAATACAAATGTCTTAATGCTGTAATTGGGTAAATGAGGTGAAGGCTATGTTGACTAGTAGGACGTAAGCACTCCAATTTGTACAAATAATCAAAACATTCAATACCATAATGGCATAAATGTATTTATGATCTATGTACAAATGTCTTAATAAAAAAAAAAGGAAGGTGGCGCGTATGGTTCAATGGGTAGTGTGCCGGCACCATATACTGAGGGTAGCGAGTTCAAACCCAGCCTTGGCCAAACTGCAACAGAAAAATAGCTGGGTGTTGTGGCGGGCACCTATAGTCCCAGATACTCAGGAGGCTGAGGCAAGAGAATCGCCTAAGCCCAGGAGTTGGAGATTGCTGTGAGCTGTGTGATGCCACAGCACTCTACTGAGGGCAATAAAGTGAAACTGTCTCTAAAAAAAAAAAGAATAAAAAAATGCCCTGGTTCAAATGGCTTCACACCAGAATTCTATTAAACCTTCAAAGAAGAGCAGAAATTATTCAAAAAAATTGAGAAGGAAAGAATCTTCCCCCAACACGTTCTATAAAACTATGAAACAAACATCACCTTGCTACCAAAACCAGGAAAAGACCAAACTAAAAAGGAGAAGTTCAGACCAATTTCACTAATAAATATAGATGCAAAAATCCTCAATAAAATTCTAGCCAATAGGGCGGCACCTGTGCCTCAGCTGGTAGTGCACCATCCCCACATACCCAGGGTGGTGGGTTCAAACCCAGCCCCGGCCAAACTGCAACAAAAAATAGCCAGGCATTGTGGTGGGCACCTGTAGTCCCAGCTACTTAGGAGATTGAAGCAAGATAATTGCCTAAGCCCAAGAGTTGGAGGTTGCTGTGAGCTCTGACGCCACAGCACTCTATGAGGGTGACAAAGTGAGACTGTCTCTAAAAAAAAAACTTCTAGCAAATAGACTACAGCTTCTCATTAAAAATGTCAATACATCCTCTGATAGATCATTACTGTGGCATGAAAAGCCCTCCATTAATTAGATCAACAGGGAGATTCATGTGGATTAAGTTTAGTTCTGACGAAGAGCTTGAAGGACTGGGATTTCGAGCAAAATACTCATTTATTCCAGATCCAGACTTTACTTATCTAGGAGGTATTTTAAATCCCATTCCAGATTGCCAGTTTGAGCTCTCAGGAGCTGATGGAATAGTACGTTCTAGTCAGGTAGAACAAGAAGAGAAAACGAAACCCAGCCAAGCAGTTGATTGCAACTGGACAATCAGAGCCACCTCACGAGCTAAGATTTATTTGAGGTTCCTAGATTATCAAATGGAGCACTCAAATGAATGCAAGAGAAACTTCATCGCAGTCTATGATGGGAGCAGCTCTATCGAAAACCTGAAGGCCAAGTTCTGCAGCACTGTGGGCAACGATGTGATGCTGAAGACGGGAATTGGCGTGATACGAATGTGGGCAGATGAAGGTAGTCGGCTCAGCAGGTTCAGAATGCTCTTTACATCCTTTGTGGAGCCTCCCTGCACTGGCAGCACTTTCTTCTGCCACAGCAACATGTGCATCAATGACTCCTTAGTCTGCAAAGGAGTCCAGAACTGCGCCTACCCTTGGGATGAGAATCACTGCAAAGAAAAGAAAAAATCAGGACTGTTTGAACAAATCATTAAAACTAATGGAACAATTATTGGCATTACATCAGGGATTGTCTTGGGCCTTCTCATTATTTCTATTTTAGTACAAGTGAAACAGCCTTGAAAAAAGGTCATGGCTTGCAAAACTGCCTTTAGTAAGACTGGGTTCCAGGAAGTGTTTGATCCTCCTCATTATGAACTGTTTTCACTGAGGGACAAAGAGATGTCTGCAGACCTGGCAGACCTGGCTGAAGAGCTGGACGGCTACCAGAAGGTGCAGCGCCCCTCCTCAGCCTCCCGGTATGTTCACAACCACCACTGTGGGTCGCAGGCGCCCAGCGTCAGACAGAGCAGGACCAACCTCAGTGCCATGGAGCTTCCCTTCCGGAATGACTTTGCACAACCACAGCCAATGAGACCGTTTAATAGCACTTTCAAGAAAAGTAGCTACACCTTCAAACAGGCCCATGAGTGCCCTGACCAGGCCCTAGAAGACAGAGTAATGGAGGAGATTCCCTGTGAGATTTATGTCAGGGGCCGAGAAGATTCTGCACAAGCATCCATATCTATCGACTTCTGACTTCTGCTGACAGTGACATTAACTGCTGCGTGTGCGTGTCCCACCTGCAGAGCGCCCGCCCTCCAGCAGCCAGCCCCTGCCTGTCAGACCTTTGTTTGCCACTAACTTGCTGTGATGTTGAGGTTCTCACCTCTCAGGCAGCCAGGGAACTTACTGTATTCAGTAGAAAACATGAGTCATCTGTTGCCTGGCCTCATACAAGAAAGCAGCACCAGTGAAAAGCGTCGAGGAGGGAGTGGCTGTGCTGAGCACTCACAGTACAGGCATCAGGAATTCCGCTCTTGCCTGCTCCAGCTCTGTCAATATTTTGATCCTACTAGTAAACTTAAAAATGAGGTTTTCCTTTATTTTTCTTCTCTCTAAATTTAATCTGTTTTATAAGCCTGTAGTTTTACTATTTCAGTTTCTTACATAAGTCGAAGTGGTTAAT